TTTTTTTTTTTTCCTGGCAGAACCGGGGATTGAACTCATGCCCTGTGCTTGCTGTAGTGCTTTAAAAGAGGCAGATCAAAGAAAGAGGTTCAGGAACCCCTCAGTTTGTCTTGGGCGGCAGGCTTTCCCTGTGAGGCAGCTTTCAGACCAAGATGGGATAGAGGCACTCTATGCAGAGCAACCAAAATGTGCAAAAGATTTGAGAACTTTGGCCTGGCTGGGGAAACTATCTGTTCATCCTTACTTTACTGGAGTACATGGGATTGGCAGATGGGGTGGGAAGATCTCCCTAAGGCAACATAAGACCTGATACCTCCACAGTAGTCTGAACTCAGGACTTCTGTGTACCATATAAATCTATCTGATGCAGGTTTAGAGCCATTAATGAAGGTCTGATAACCATTTGCATTTGACTATAAACAAAACTTTTAAATCTTCCAGTAGCAAATGCTCGGGTAGTAATTTCTCAGAAACACCAATTCTCTTTAATCAAGTTTCTCTTGGTAGGAATCATCGATGCATTAATTCATAGAATTAAGCCTTCGTGAGTCAAACGCGCGGATGAGCAATTCCCAGTCATCTCAGAGAGCCATCCCAGGAGAGCGGCAGGATCCAGACAGTCGGTCTGTCGTCCCTCTCGTTTCCGGAATGAACCGGGGGTCACAGTGGCAATGCTCGGGATGCGGACAGCTTTTAGAAGCAGAACACATCACCTGGAGCTTAAATCGGGAATGGAACGGCCTGTCACCCGACCTAAGGGCCGGGCTGGTCCTGTCTCCCCCCAACCTAACCCAATTATTTGCATTTTCTCTCGGCCTTCCCCCGCTTTTCTCTTTCGTCCTTTTTCCCTTCATGACGTGTTTGTAGTCTCTCATCTCCTTCGCAAATCTGCTGCCCTCCCTCCCCTTCCAGCTTCGCGCGGCGCTGGCGTTCAGGGCTGAGCGAGCTATGCGCTTTGCTAACATTTTCATCCTCCCGTTCCGCCGGGCCTCCCCCACTCCGCCCGGCCGCTCCCGCGGCTCGCCCCGGGGCTCCAGGAACCTCAGGCGGATGCGGCCACGCGGCTGCCACGTCTCCGCTGCCAGCGCTGCGGTGCCTGCGCAGGCCCGGGGGGCG